GTGGAGTTCGCGTGGTCTGGCTGCGAGCTTCCCCGAAGCCCCATGCTGACCGAACCTGACAGTAAAGGGTGAAAATCATCAATAGACAAACATCACAAAATAAGAAACACTATGCTGGGGACTTCAATTACCTACAATTAGGCAGGCTCACACTGGCTCCTACCCTGGTGCCTAAAGAAACATAGTTTTTTCCATTTCCAATGTGACCAGTGCAAGTTTTGTTGTTGTAATGGAATACAGAGTAAAAGTGGTGTTCCAGCACTCTAGGTGAAGTCACTACCTGGAACAGGACAGGACAGGAAGAAGTCTTAATCCCTGCCTTCTAGGTAGAAGAGGTGGTGTTAGCCTTTCCTGTTGGGTTCATCTTCCTGTAATCAAAGTTGCTTCATGGTAAAGCTAACTCATTTCTTACACTAACTTCATTGGGGGGTAGTAAGGATTCCTTCTTTCTACTAAGGCTTAATTCCTAAATAAAGTTGCTTATTATTTAAATTGCAAATATGTATAGGATGGAAGGTGGAGGCATGTAAATTTGCAAATCATGTATTCATTTATAGTTTGGAAAACTGCTTATATAAATATTGGAAGGATAGAACTAGGCAAATGGGAAAAGTTGCAGGCAGAAAACTTTAACATGGGACTTGTTTTCATTAGGTGCTTGGTCAGATTGTCAACATGAAGCTGAGACTGTTCATGAACTGTAGATCGAATCTGTCAGAAGTACCTTTGAAAAGGCAAGTAACTTGAAAAAGTTTATTATTAAAATGGGTGCAAAAATATGACAGTAGATTTTCACAGCTGGGCTTATTGTTGAAGTGGTTTCTGGTTAATGCCCTATGTGACAATAATATGGCTCATGAAACATCAACATGTTTTCATTGACTCCAACAACTTTACCTGGGAGTCATTTAACTAATACCATTTATACTTAGAAGCTGGTGCAGACTCGGGCAGGACAGTGTCAGTTCTTTACCTACTTTCACTGGTCCTCTTCTTTTGAACATTTTACTTGGTCCTGACAGTTGATATGTAGAATTCTGAGTCTTTGTAGTTGGCTCAGCCAAGAGGGGAGATGAAGAGTGCTAGCAAAAAAAGAGACAGAAGGTTTGTCAACAGAAAGATTAAAAAGCAGCTGGTCCAGTCACTGGAGGGGAGTGCACCCACGCTACTAGAACGTATTGGGTGGGCAGAAATGATTGGATATGAGGGGTCTCTTCTCTCATATGCTTCTCTCAAATTCCTTCCCCACAAAAGAGTGGGCCTTTGAAAGAAGAAGGCGTACTCCAAGTGCATACAGGATGGATTTCCTTAGCCTCTTCCCTATTCTCTTTTTGTTGCAGTTCTCTGAAGTATCTTTGCTGCTCCCTGCTGTCTCCCCAGAATCCTTCCCATTTCCTTTTCTTCCCCTTAAATACTTGATCTTCCCATTGTTTTCCAAGACTAAGCCATCAACATCAACTTGCCTTTTACCTTCTAGTGGGGTAGCTGCACTAAACAAGCTTGAAACCAGTGTAGGGCATTGCATTCTGTATAGGAGGATACCTGCATTTTCCTGGCAAATGTTGTATCCTGAACTGGATATATTACTTCCCTGAGAGTTTTATAATGGTTATCATGTTCTTGGCCTGTATTGAAAGGGAGGAGACTGTCTTTGTCAAGGACAGTCATTGGATCCAGGTTAGAACAAAATAGCATTAGAAATTAAAAATAAGAGCACACAAAAAAGCCCATCCAAGTTCCTTGTAACTTACAGATTGAACGTTTCTAATATAACACAGTTACTTGCTCAGCAGTAATAAATGTATAAAATAGAATCAAAACATTCTGAGGCTTTTACGCATTGTTGTGCAACCCTCTACAATGCTCTTTGCCTTGTTTTGCCTTGCCTTCTTAATAATTATATTTTTGCTTTTGCCATAGTTTCTATCGTTTGGTTATGGAGCCAGAACTCTCTGTGGGGTCCAATAATTTCTTTCCTCTTTCACTCGGAGCAAACTTCCTTGAAATGCCAGAGTCTCCTCTTCTGACACTGAACATGATCACTCCAGAAAGTTGGTTGGTTGAAGCCGTGAGCAGTCCTTATGACCTTGACAACATTCATTTAAAAGATGTAAGTACTAGTTCTTAAACATATTGTACAAAGAATTGTAATGAATATGTAGTCCACAAATTTCTATTTTTTTTCACTTTTCAGATGTTTTAGGACTTGTATTTTCTTAAAAACTTTAGCTTTCATTCCAAGCATGGAGAATACATAATGTTTGAAAAGTACTTATCCTATTATTTTAGCTACACTCTTTAAAGTACTGCTCATGGCTTTGATAGCAGCTTTATTGGCAAAATAACCAGAAGATATGCATAGAATCTTAAGTTACTTTGTTATTTATTTATATTTATTGCCTGCCCAATTCCAGTGGACTCTGGGCAGCATACAAAACTAGAAAAAACATAAAATCAGACAGTCCAGACTAAAGTGATCTGATAAACAACAAATCTTCTGGTTATTTTGCCAATAAAGCTGCTATCAAACCATGAGCAGCACTTTAAATAAGTGTAGCTAAAGTAATAGGATAAGTACTTTTCAAACATTATGTATTCTCTATGCCTTAAACAAGTCATAAACATCAACCCCAGGCCTGAGACTAAAGGCAGGTTTTCAAAGCTTTCTGGAACCCCAGGAGAAAGGGCACCCTCCTTATCTCTGGGGAAATGCTGTTCCAGAGGGTGGGGGCCGCAACAGAGAAGACACGCTTCCTAGATCCCATAGGATGGCAGTGTTGAATGGAGGGGAGTGCACCCACGCTACTAGAACGTATTGGGTGGGCAGAAATGATTGGATATGAGGGGTCTCTCAGATATCTGGGTATCAGAAGATATTGCATTGTTGGATTGTTTCACTCAGTTTCAATACTAAAGAAAGCTAATACAGCATGCATTCTTTTAGTCATAATTTGGTGGTAATGAATCCTTGAGGGAAATAGCCTCTAGGACTCTTGTTCAGCAACCTCAAAAAAATTGTAAACTGGTTCATTGCTACCAACATTGGACCTACACTCCCTGATTCTTTGGCTAAGGGCTACAATCACTGCCCACACCAACCCTGGTTCTCTTCAGTAGTTCTGGCTCCCCTTTAAAGACAAAAATTCCTCATTTACTGTGGTAATTGCTACCTTTACTGAGTTTATTGTCTTTGGAACAAACATGGAATTGCAGCTTAAAAAAACATAATTATTGAGGAGGACAGGTTTTCTCCTCTCGAAGAGTCCAAAGTGAGATAAAAGAACTCTAATTCTTAATTTCAGATAAACCGAAGAAACATCCAGCCATAGGATCCTTCATTAGACAGATTGCATAAGCACTGAGCATAATAATAATACATCTGTGGCTTTAGCAAGAGTAAGCACTCTGTGTATGGCTGTGCCCAATACTTTTGAATGTTCCTATGTGTCTCTTCTAAAGAATATGCATTTTCACAGGTAGATGGGATGGTTTCAGCTGAGTATGAATTGGAATATTTGTTGCTGGAAGGACATTGCTATGATGTGACCACTAGGAAGCCACCTCGTGGATTGCAGTTCACTCTTGGAACAAGGAATAATCCTGTCAAAGTTGATACCATTGTGATGGCCAACCTGGTAGGTCCTGGCTGAGGCAGGAGAGTATGTATGTAATTTAAGCACTTGCTCATTGTTCTTATCTAATATGTCTGCTAATATTATTAATGGTATGGTCTATTATTGTTTGAATCTTGTAGTTTTTCTTGCCAAGAAGGGGTTGTTTATGGAGTAATATCAGAGTCGCTGAAAACTTAAACTGAGGCATTAAATGCTTAAAACTTGTTCTTGTGGATCTCACTTATAAATTAGGAAGCTAGTAATCTGAGTTAATAAGTTACATGACATCAGAATATAGTATCATAATAGAAGTATGATGTCATTTAGCCATGCCACTGAATATCTCCTGAGCAGCATACTCAAGAATGGCGTTACAATATAATCAGATGCAAAACTTTTGTCCCCAGGATCACATGGTGGCCCTGTCCCCAAAGTCTTGAGTAGGGTCTCCAGAGCCTTTTGAAAAGTTGTTGCAAAATGGTGATATTCAGGGCTGTTTAAAGCACCCTGTGCACTTGAATGAATGAAGCATGCATGGCTCACATATTTTGGTCCATGCCCAGAATGATACTGTTGGCCTGTACAGAGACTGAAGTGGGCTAATGTGTAAATGGTTTAAGAAATGGAGATAGAAAGTTCAGGTCTTCTTGTGACTGGAAGAGGTGAACACACAAACCCAAAGTGTATGCAAACTTCTTCAAATTGAGCTGCTCCTGGAAACTTCATAGATGCAGTCATGTTGCTTTCTTGGTAGCAGAATAGAAGTGGTTTGCCATTGTCTTTTTCTGGGATTCTTTTCAGTATCATAGGCTAGATTATTGTTCTGATTACTCTGGAGGTCTCCCTTCCAATTCTAACCAAGCCCAACTTTGCTTAGTTCTAAGCCCAAGTCAGGTTGGCCAGGAGTTGCCATGGCTGAGACAGCTCCCAACAGTCCAGCCTGCAGGGCTGATAGTCAGGAATGCTCCAAGTTGTAGTTCAGCAGCCTCTGGAGTGCCACATGTCCAAGCTTCCTAACAAAGTTGAGAATCAAAATGTAAATATAAATGAATTTTGCAACAGTAGCAGCATTAATTTATTTCTCTTCTAGATCTATAAATCTATAGTAACCTTGGCTTGCAACGGAAAGAAAAGCAGCCTGTTAATTCCAGTATCTGGGAAATCTATTTTCTCATCTGAAGTGAAGGAGATTTGATCCTTTGATTCAAAAGCCAGCATCAGAATCTATTTTAGATTATTTTTACTTAATAATTAGGTGTTGGATTTGGGCCAGGAGACCAGGTTCAAGTTCCCACTCAACCATGGAGCCCACTTGGACCAGTCACTTTTTGTCAGTGAAACCTCCCTCTCAACATCAAACCTTTGTTGTTGCTGAATAAAATGAGGGGTCCTCATATACACCATGTTGAACTCTTAGAGAAAAGACTGTGTATAAATGCAGTAACTAAAATATATATAAAAAAATACATTGCCAGTGTTTGTGCATATATTTCCTTTTATTAAGATGCAAGGTGCAAACAGAAAGGGTAGATTTCACTGATTCTTGATTGATTGGCATCCATGTTTGATGAGACAGTTTCTGGTGCTTAAATCCAGTGGTATTTTTGGTTTGTTTGTTTGCTTGCTTTGCAGGGGTATTTTCAATTAAAAGCCAACCCAGGGGCTTGGATTTTGAGACTACGTGAAGGAAGATCTGAAGAAATTTACCAAGTGTTTAAGTAAGACATAAGTACAGTCTAACAGTTATAAATATAAAACACATTTTATATTGACTTGAACATAAACTAGGGTTGGTGAAGAGAAATAGTTTGAAGACACCAGCAGAGGATGCTGTTCATTTTGCACATTCAGAATTGGCCTTTTGGACTAATTTGATTTGCTCTCTGCATCTTCAGCCTTTGCTGATGTTTGCCAAACATTCTTAACTTAGACATGATCCTTTCACTCCATTCTCCATTTTATCACTTCACTTTGATGAAGGAATTTCATTATTTACCACAGGTGAACTACAGCTGTTAATAACCTTAGCCAACCTGGCCGAGGTGGGGAATGCTGGAAGATAAAGTTAAGCAACATCCTGAGGTCTACAGGTTTCCCACCTAGTTTGAAGACAAGACTAGGAATGCACTGTAAATATACAATGACCCATAAATTACATAAAACCTTTTAGCCTTCTGGAAAGCCATGAAGATCTGGCTCTTTCCCCAAGCATTGGGCTAGGATGGGGCTTGAGTCAACAGTTTGGTTGGTCTGGCACCCGGTGGGAAGGGTTGTTCTATTCTTATTCTTGTTTTTATTGGTTGCTGTGAGTCATCTAGCATCAGTATGGGAGATAGGCAGCCATATAAGTCCAATAAATAAATAATAAATTAAAACCTTTTTTAAAGTAAGGAGGGCGATAAGTTGAAATGGCAGTTGTGCAAATTTGCTTAATTTGTCATGGCTTAGGTTTGTAGAATTTGACTTTTCTTAAGTCAAAATTTAGATTGTTCTCTCTTTAAAATTTGTAAGGTGGGAGTATTATTTGGTTTGTTTTGGGGGTAATTTTATAGTTGTCTGTCTGTAGTACAGTATATATGTGCCTCGGTCTAGGACTGAAATGAAGATGATGATAGACAGAGAGACAGACAGACATAAGCTTTGTGTGTATGCACACCCTCACATTCTCTCTTCCCTTCTTTCTCTCTCCTCACACAAATATACACACTCAGATACATGCATGTAGACTTAAAAAATACAGTTTACAGCCAAGTGCTTCACGAGAATCAAGCATGTAAGCACTGGCTTGTGGCTTACCTGGGTCAGTCTGACTCTTTTTAAAAATTCATTCGCTTTCAGCCTTCTATTTTGAAAGTTTTCTTTTTAAAAAAATCCTGTGCCCTTTAGACATTTATGGTGATGCTATTCATGACAGGATCATAAGTTAGAAGAAGCTGCACCTGTTAACTAGAATCTTTATGCTGTGTTGCTAAGAATGACGGCAGATCTAAATTTGGAATCTCAAGTGACAGGATTTCAGTCTAATCATTGTGATTCACTTGCAGCTAAATCTAGAGCTCATCTATCTATTTATAATTTTATCGGGCACCCTCAGAGCTTGAACTAGGAATTCTGCAGATTGGACATAGTTTACCTCCTCCCTGCACTTTCTTGGGAATCAGTTACTTTCCCCAAATTAACTTCCTTCTGTATTGCTGCATGAGTTCCTGCATTCTCTCAGTTGATGCCATTTCCTTACTAAGGTGTTAGCTATAGACAAACTTCCCAGTGAAGAAATTCCATAACTGAGATGAAATAGTAGGGGAAAAAAGCCCTCCTCATCCTTATTACCATCCATTTAATTTCTCATTTTGGTGGCACTTAATTCCATTGTAAATTGATGTAGGAAGATGCAGCTTTTAACTTATTTGGGTTCTAAAAGGGAAACCAGCAGTTAAAAACAAAGTCAGCAATCGCCATAGAAAGAGAGGTTCACAGCAAGCTATCCCAGTTAAAATCTTCTGTGCTGTATTTTGAATTAATTGCTGCTTTTGAACGGTCTTCATAGCCCTTACAGTAATCTGAAAATTGATTTTTTTTGGTATGAACGAGGAGATAGAGTTCTAGGTCTGTTCATGAAAATCAGTGGTTTAATCAAATTATTATTAAAACTAAAATAACATGATAAAATACTTCGGATCATTTTTTCTCTACGTCTAAAAGTGTAGCAACAATTGCTTGGTGTTTTTGTTTTTTGGTATTATATACTATAATCTTTATGTTTGTGAGGGACTGCTTCAATTAGGGATAATTATGAACTATGTAAACTAAAAAAACCCCTTATTCTTAACATATTTAATGAGTGCAGCAGAAAATTTTAAAAAGATTACAATCACTCTCTTCTGGTTAGATAGGTGGTCATCAAAAATCAAAGTTTTGAGGGGAAGTGATAGAAGTTAAATACTATATTATTTTGATATTAATCTTTTTTGTTAAATGTTGTGTACAGAACCATCCTACTTGTTTGCATATAGATCTTAAAGATTAGGTTATAATTATGTTCTCATACTACAGAGAAGACTGATTCTCTGTGATCCTTTTCATGTCTGCTCAGAAATAAGTCCTATTAAGTTTGAGTGGAGTAGCTTCCAGGTAAGGGTTTCTTAGAATCCTAGAATGTAAAGATTCCAAGAGACTTTGGGGATCCAAGTCCAAGCCCTGGTCAGTGCAGGAACCTTCCCTGACAGCCCTTCAGCCTCTGTTTCAGTCCCTCTGTTGAAGAACAGACCATCACTTCCCAAGGCGGTTTGTTCCACTGTTGGATGGGGTAAGGTTTCAGTCTAAATGAGGTAAAGTGAAGAGCTGGAATTTCTTTGTATTGTTTGACGTGAGATGTGTATCTCTTAGTCCATTAAGAATTAAGACTTTCTGAAATAAACACGAATATTCCACTAATCAGAAGAGGTGGGTAGCAGCCTCTTTCATCTCTCACTTCAGCACCTGCCTTTTTCAATGCTGTTTTAAAAATAAGTGAACCTGAAATAGTTTAAAATGGGTTGAAAACAAGCACACCTTGGGGGGCATAATTTGTGATGTTCTGTAGTGAAGCAACTTTACTTTCCCAAAACCTCAGTTTCTTAAGTACTTTAACGAATAGAATTAATTAATGTACCTTCACTCTATTTGTTGTACAAGAGATTGCACAGAACACTTGCAACGGTTTTGGTCTTCCTGAATTGGAGCTGTGCATCATCATCATCCTTGTCATCATCCAAAGTTCTTGATTTTTTTCATGTACTTCTCTGAGACCTTACTTGCAACATATATACTGATATCTTAGGAGCAAAAACAAAATGGCAGCTAAATCAGAGCCCAAGAGCCTCATTCTCAATTCTTCTTCATGGTCTTTTTAAATCTAGGCCTCTTGATGATTCTTTTCTTCAGTGTGTGCTTTCCTTCCATTTAGGGTTTTTTGTTTTTTGTTTTTTGGCTGTCAGTGTTGTAGCTGCCTGAATGCCCAGAATTTTGGCCATTATATAATAATATACAATGTTGTACCATGAAACTATTTCATTTTTTAATATCTGGGATTCTTTCAGTTATACATATTGACATGTATCACATTGACTTCTGCTTATCTTGATTTTATTATTCTCAGTATTAAGAAGGAAAATTGGTTTTTATTGTTGGAGGGGAAGGAATCTCACAAATCAAGCCTACATACACTATGCTATTTCCTCCTAGTAAGGAAGAATATATGTTTCTTTCCTCTACTGAATTATAAGGCTTGATTGAGCATATGTTATCTGCCCAAAATGGATTACCTACCAGGCAGAAAAATAGCTCAATCTATTTATTAATATTTGTCTGCAGATTACCATTCTGCGTAAAACAGAAAGATCAAATCATTAACAATTACAAGAGAACATGGAATTACTTTTTTTGTAAGAAGTATCTGGCTGGCTTCAACACAATGAATATAATCTTGGATTCTTCCTTTTGAGATGTGTTCAAGAATAATACTCTAGGTCTTAAGAAGAATTGTTCTGAAGGCAAAGACTTACTGAGAAGGCCACAGTTGTAGCTTGTAGATACTGATATCTCAGATTTTGTAGCAAACTGTCTTCAATTGCAAAACGTCATCTTTGAAATGTAGATTTTTGTGAATAACGGTAGTAGGTGGTCTTAGGCTTTGTTTCCTAAATTGATTTGAACTTTTCTTCCTTCCTTCACTGATCCCCAAAATGCAACTTCCTGCTACAACCTCTCTGAAAGGATATAAATGTGGAAAGCTTCCTAAATCAGTATGCTGGAAAGCTGGGATTTTCATTCTTAGCTGAGCAAACTGTTCCATAATTCAAGAAACAGTAATTATTATATTTAATTTTTATTTGCAGATAACTTACTTTTTTTCCTCTCTAGGCATGAAGGGGCCGATTCTTCTGAGGGTCTAGAAGAGGTTATTGTAGTATTAAATAGTTTTAGAAGCAAAATCATCAGAATCCAAGTACGTATACTGACAATTTTAGATTGAAATGCTTAGATGATTGATAGACTGATTTTAAGTTAATGTTTAATGCAATTAATAATGGAATTTGCTGAGCATTTTGTGTATGCTGAAAACATTATTTGTGTGATGTGTAGGTAGAAAAAAAAACTGACAATGATAATGAAGATCTCCTGAACGAAGTAACAACAGAAGAGAAGGAAGTTTCCATGACCAGGTAAACTGGTTGGGCTTTACTTGGGCCTAGCTAAGAAATGTGATGGGTGGGGGGCATTTCTGGTTTATTATCTTTGTAATATTTATTAGTTGAGCTCTCATCCCTCAGGGAGACAATGATCTTGTCCTATGGAAGAAGTTCTTTCAGTTCTTTCAGTTCTTCTCGTTTTGTTTAGCCAAAAAGGAAAACTGAGAAAGCCAAAATGAGCAGGCATCCTGGCTTCTCTAGGGTGTAGTGGAGGCAAGATGGTGGCGGTGGGGAACAGGGAGCCAGTTGACATGCAGCTTCTGTTGGGAAGAATATCCCACCCTTTGGTAAGGGTTGGTTTCAGGTATTGCTTTAAATTACATTTGATTTTGGTATTTATATTGCTTTAATCTTAATTACTGTATGTAAGGATTGTAAGCCATTTAAAGTCTTGCTTGATTGGATCAGCATAGAAGCTTAGATACAGCAAATGCGTACATGCATGGTTTGGAGAAGACTCTGTTTTGGTCCAAAGATCATATAGTTTGTGCACCTTATGGTCTTCGCTCTTTTTTCTTCTGGTATGATCCTTTCCTTCTTTTTCCTCTCTCTTGTTTCAGTAATGCAAGATGAACCCTTTTACAGATCTTAAATACAAACTGAATAAAAATCTTTTTGAAGTTCTACAGGAGGAACTTGGAAAGCAGAAATGGAGAAGAAAACTGATGTATTGAACATATTTTCAGTGGCTTCTGGCCATTTATATGAGCGCTTTTTAAGGTATCTGAAGGATTTGGGTGGCTAAGGTGGTTGAGTGATGCCTGCGTGCCTGGCTGGGTATATTAGGGTAGACTGCATTTTCCTATGTACTTTTATCTTGAAACTGGGGAATAATACCTAATGTGGAAGTTTTGAATATCAGAAACTGAGTTACTTGAGTTTTAAAAGCAAGACTTGGATAGTTAAACAGTCTCATATTGATGTTATTCTTCATTGAAAAGATGTGATTGTAAAGTTACTTTCTGGCATCTCTGTGACATATTGTGCATATGTTACAGTACTCATGATTGGATTATTCTTATTTTCCAGAATAATGATGCTCTCAGTTCTGCGCCACACAAAGACACCAGTGAAATTTTGGTTTCTGAAAAATTACCTTTCACCTACATTTAAAGTAAGCACAGTATTTCACTCTTAAAATCCATTGCAATTTTAATCAAAACAGATCTTGGCTCTTCTAATTGCAAAGCATCAGTGTCAATTTTCAGCTTGTTTAAGCATGTTTTGGGAAACCCAGTTCTGGGTTTTATTTTACAATAGATTGAGTAACTTAACAATTTAGCATTGCAATAATAATCATTCTAGTTTTGAACTTTATGCTGGGAAACATGTGGGGGGAGGGTTGTCTTGTTGTCTTGTTTTGTTTGAAAGAATAAAGATTCCTATTAATTAGAACATCCAGTTAACTTTTACATTTGTGGTGCTAAGTCTATTTTGTCATTATCTGGCTATTCTAAATCTCTTAAACTTGGTTACATCTGAACTAGCCCTGTCTCAACCAGAGGTGTGCAATATTTTGCTGCTTTAGGCAAAGGGTAAACATTTGGCTTTCCCATTTCACGTACAGAGCCTGACTGGAATGATACTGACCCATCATGCCTGCAGACTCTACGTAGCTTTTCAGATTTTGGGCATTGTTCTGTCTTCACTGATGTTCTCCTCCCCAGGATCTGTCATGTCTGACGACTCTCCTGATCCCTCAGGGGAGGGTTGGCCCTGGCTCAGGGCCCCAGGTCACTCTCATGTGCCTTTACTTGTCCCTGTCAAATTTTAATCAAGATTTAGTTTTTTAAAAAAATGTTCGCCATTTAATGTATTACTGAATAGTTGTAAAAGACATGGCGTGTCAGATTCAGCCGGCATGGCATGACACGGCGAAGCGCCGCTCAGCTGCGCCTAGTCAATTTCACCGCCCAGGCGCTAGATGAGAAAAAAGGGGAAGTGAAACTGCGAACTGATTACGGCCAGGTGGCAACGCTCAACTCGAAACTGCAAGCGGATACTTTGTATCAGCGCAGTTTCCCCTCGGGCGCTGCAAACAAAGGAAAGCACACAGGCTCAGAAGCGAAGCAATCAACGAATGATCGAGAATGATCGAGAACTCCCGGCTTGGACAACAGCACAACCCATAGACGGCAATCAGAAAGACAAAAGCACCAGACTGAAGCTGCCATTTGGGTGAGGGGGGATTACTGCGGGTAATCTG